TACTAAACGTTCAAACTTTATTTTTACTTACGGTATCGTCACAGGGTTCTGGTGTTGGTACTGGTATGGCAATGTTTAAGAAGCACAAAATAATAATCTGCTTTAGATGGAATTTCGCCATAGCGTGCTGACTGCAGCAATGAGGTTTTGTTTAATCGGGAAATCGTCGACTTCGTTTAATTACTTTTATTGATACGAGAAATAATAATTTGTGCAAACTGTTTCTGACACGCATTAGCACTAACCACAGACGAGATAAATCATGTTTGATAAAAATGGATTGATTGGCGTTGTAGTGATAACTGGACCGAACTATGTAATTAAAATTAAATGGATGTCAAAACACTTTGCACAAAAAATTTTACATTATCACAAAAAAAAGGTACAGCATAAACATCTAGTTATGTCTAAAACTAGAAAATACTTTAACTAAGTGGCTAAAATTCTTTCTGAAAAAACAAATCCTTAATCCTATGATAGTACATCTGTCTAGTACTAGTATTAAACACGATAAAGTACAGAAACACGACAAACCCCTGCAAAGTCGCAGTAAAACAAAATATGTAAGTAAAAACAATCCTGAAGTCGAATCCTGACAAAAACCCAAACACCCAAGTCAAACCCAACATGAAGAAAAGCAAAACGAAAAGTCTCCACTGGTGTTTCTTCTCGTTTACTCCAGTCCGGCTTTCAACACGCGAGCAAATCACGTTATACATTATATAAACAAAAATGATAGCGTTAATAATGCCGATAACTGCAACGGGAAGCCAAACTCCTAGGTATATAGCGAGATTCGACGATGGATAGCAAAGACCTGCTGAACCTTGAACATATTCACCCTCTTGGAGTACTACAACGAGTACCACCGGAAATAGAGGAAATACCCAACCAAGGAGACAAGCTTTTGGAACGAGATATCTGGAACTTGTGGCAAAAACTTTAACAAACTTTTTAAACTGAAGTATTGCGATGATTAACATCCAGCTGAATTGAGCAATGATGGAATAGTGTAGTAGGACTCCGACGAGGGTACATAGACTTTTGGAATGTCTATTGATAGCACCGGCGATGTACATGGTCACAATTTGAATGATGATGGTAAAGGAGAAGTTGAGGAGAATTTGATTAACGGTGTTTTTTCTCTATTTTTCAAAAAGAACAGCTGTGAGTACTATAATGAAAAGACTTATCAAAGAAATGGCAGAATTGACTGTGGTGATCCAGTCCAAAACGTCATACTCAGTATAGTCGTCGTTGTTTAGTAGCAGAAGGGCAAAATGTGTGGTGTGCCAAAAATCGCATTGACGAATAGAAGAAAAGTTTTTCGGGTCGCTGTCTTTTTTCCAGAAGCTTTGGTTTTGACTGGTGGTGTTGTAGTTCCAATGGGGACATTCCATAGTATCAGCGGTTGACGAAACGTGGTATAAAATTGAAATCGGACCTGAATAGTTGCCATTCTGTGGAAGAATAACGCCAAAGATTTTACTAACGTCTTTGTTTTGGGAGTTATTTTCGTTAAATAAAACATCACTGAAGAAAATGGTTACGATAATTCTTGACTCGTTGTCGAACTGGTTCTTCAATTCGGAACTCAGTAAAATGGCACTGGAGAAGTTGTCTTGTGACTCTAGATCTTCAATGCTTACGTTTCCTCTCAAAACTTGCGTTTGAACACTCCCGTTGGATTCGAGAAGCAACAAACCACTAAAATCGTTATTTTTGAAGCTTGACACAAACAAGATACAATTGTCTTTAGTTACAAGAACTTCAGACTCGTTGTAGTTACAATTTTTGACAATACCGTCAATATTGTCAAGAATCAAGTCCGTAGCTTTATGTTTCCTCTGGCTTTGTGTCAGTATCGGTTTGTTAACCCTGTGCAAGTTGTCGACAAGTTCAGTCAAACCTTGCAAGTCATTGTCAGAATTTTCCTTGACTAAATCCAACACCTGTCCCACTAGAAAAACATCGTTCTGATTAAACTGGTAGCAGTTTTGTGAAACATTGACCAAAGCAGGTACTCTTTCTGAATCCAGATAGCTCGACCCGAGTAATTCCTCAAGTTCAGTGGTAAGATTTAACTCCTTGAAACGCGTAGCTAGAGCAAAGTACCCGACGTACCAAAACCGACAAATCTGGTACGACGTCAAACTGTAAGAATCGTCTACTTTTACCCAAAGTCCTTGCAAGCGATTAACGTCGTAGAACCACGAAACACAAGAAACGATACTCCGAGAAGACAGATCCATGTTTTGGATAACAGTCACAGGGCCGGGTAGAAAGCGCTTAGAAGTGTAACCCTTTTCGACGAGTAGTACTTCAAACACCGCGCTTATGTTTTTCGGAGGGTACTGAACTTCGCCGAAGAAGACGTTATCGAAGAACAACGTAAACGCGATTTTGCTGTCACCACGTATCTGGTACTTGAGCTCAGGACCAAGACAAATAGCGAGTTCCAAATCGTCGATTTTACCAACTAAATTCTCGGCGACGCAGTTGCCTTTGAAAATCGTTACATTTCTTAAACCGTCTTGTAGTCGTACGACAATACCAGTGATATTGCTAGAAGGTGACAAAACACAGACGAAATCATCGTCTATTATTTCTATGGTGTCTTGATACGTCATCGTCACGTTTTCAATCATGTGTAGAATTTTGTCAGTGGCGTGCGTGGTGATTTGCGACTCCAAAAGTACCCGTTTGTTGATTCCTACAGTTTTCTTAATCGCCGCTCGAAAAGTGTTAATGGGGAAGCCAGGAGTTGTAAAATACGTGTTGTAGATTTCTGCCAGCAGAAAAACGTCTAACGAATTGAACTTCTTTGTATCTAGTTGAAGAATTGTGTCAATATTAGATTCCACTACTGTGTCTTGGTTGTATATGGATAAGAGGTTTTTAGAGATTGGTGACCGGTCCAAGATTTTACACTCAGTAGCAGAAACCATCAAAGACATCCCGTCTGTAAAATTACCCCCGCAGTAACCAGTAGCTGGATTACCATCAGCCCTGAAGCAAAACTTATCAGTTGTGGCTTGTTCATTAGCTGCAGAGGTCAGCCAGTTTAGACAATAGTCAGGTCTGAAGCAAAAAGTTTGACGCATGCAGAAATCCGTACTTCGAAAACTTGTCATCTTCACGTTGTTCAACGTGGAGACGGTTTTATTTATAGCAGCACCTAGCCTAGAATACTGAAACTCTTTCTCCTCTGCAGTAGTACCATCTATCTTTAAAACACAACTAAAATGAAGATTAACGGTAATCGAACTACCTTTTTCGTTAAACCAGACTATTTTCATTATTCTAGCAACGTAGTTTGCTTTACCAATCTTAAAAACGTGCAACGGTTTTAATAAACTGTCGTTTAAGAACTTCATTATTTTGACACTTAGGGGATCAAACGAGTACCACGGAAGTTTCACTTCGAACAGACCGACGAACTCGAACGCTACTGGATTTCTGAAAAACACCCTCTCAGAGACCACGATTTCCGAGTTTGAAAATTTGAAAGCTTCGCACCAGTGGTACCCAGGAAAAGTCTCCGCGGGTTGGAAGATAGCGGTACTACAACCCGAATCCTCGCTCGTCCAGTTGAGATTGTCGTACCGATAGAGCAAACTATCGCGTTTTGCATCAGTGAAACAAAAAACACCCACCAAATCTAGCAACCATTGTGGGTTATTTACAGATACATTGAGAAACTCACGTGTTTCTGTGATTGATAGTGTTATATTAATTTCCGGTTCTGGTACTTCTCGTTCGACCAACAAACACGTACCTATATTTTCGGTCAAAACCCACCCCTGTGGTCCCACAGCACTATAAGTATAACCACTGTGGAAAGTTGTCTCAGGCGACCAAAACGTGTAACTAATTTCTTGATTGGTGGTACTCCAGTAGTACGTTCCATTCATACTCTTCTGGAGTCCGAAACTACACACTTCTTGATCGGTATAAAGACTATTTTGGTAAGGTTCGACAAAGTCAGCTGGTGTTTGACCATCGACTTGGCTTTTATCTTGACAAAAACACGTAGTTTTCGAAGAGTAGCTGCTCTGAACACAGGTACCACAAAAGCTACAAACTTTATTATCCACAAGGTGTAGCTTTTTATAGGCGCAGACTCTTGAGTGTGTGTCGATACATGAAGCTGCGGTACTTCCCTTCCTCTTATCAAAAGTCAAACTATTGTTAGAGGGTTCCGTGTATAGTTATAGTCTCCGTATTCTTGTTTATAAAACTCGCTAGGTTCTATTCATCGTATAAAACCAAGACCATTACTAAAGTCACGGATTACTGGTACCCAGACGACAAAACTCTTGACCAAGGTACCAAAGATTAAAGTACTAACAGTACTGACACAGTTTTCGTCACAAATAGCGTCAAATATGACCTAATTCGTTGATTCATTCTACCGAAAGTATCTAAATATTACAAAATAAACGACAAGACGATTCATTCACTTCTTTCAACACCATTACCCAAGACCCAGAATTTCCCATTTCGAAGAAACCGCACGTTGATGACACCATACCACACACCATTCCATCAAGTGAAAAGACATCGTTTGTCAACCAGCACATATTTACGTGAAAACTGCTTACAATGGCAATCACACAAATTACGCTGGGAAAATCGTCGAAGCCTCTGGCACCATTGACACCACCTTCACCTCTCCCATAAAGAAATCAGACCAGAAAAAACCCATCAAGGCGTCATCGCCCATTACCCCGCAAAACATCTTCCCGAAAATTACTACAAATTAATGTGTTTTTAGAGCATCAACGGAAGCGCATTTCGTGCGGATAATTACTAGGTACTTTCGATAGTTTTTGGTACTTTTTCGAATTTTCCGACACTTTCGATTTTATCGTACAACCATAAAGTGCCCACAATCCCGTGTGTTGCGTAAGCCGAATCTTTTCGTCAAACAATGCCTTTGACACGGTAGTACCGCACGTACCGCCGCCGGCTAGTCAACTTTCTACAGCCCCTTTCTTCCCCTTCTCCAGCAGCAGCAGCGTCGAGATCGCAGCTTCTTCAGTCGTACCGTCAGTACTGCCGAACGCGATGGACTCTTGAGCGGTTGGTGAAGTGCAGTGTATTCAGGATGTGGATTAAGACGATAGTGAGTGCTTTTTCATTTTTGTGAAACCGCGTAGAACGAAAGTACTTTTTCGAAAATTAATTATTACAACGTGAAAGTACCGCAATTGTCGGGCTTTTTTGCAGCGCGAAAAAATCGCCGCTTAGGCGATCAGTAAACATTCACGAAGAGCTAATTGAGCGACCTCAAAATCTGACACCGATTTGGAAATTTGTTTGTGGAATAAATAAAGATCATTTTTATTGTACCGTTTTGCACGTGCTGTGGGTTGATCGAGACGCGGGGAAATGTGTCGAGGAGGTCGGACCGAGAAATTGCTCTTAAAATCGTTATGGCATCGCGTATGACTCAAGTTAAGTCATTGGCTGCTTTCTAATTACATGACTTTCGAAGGAAGATTTTTGTAAGCTTGATAATAGGAATTAATTTCGGATCGTGTTTAGTTTCTAATGTGTCACTTTTACTTAAATGGAATGAATTCCTGACATGGGTTAATCAATGGAGCGGATTTCTCATGGGTGAAGAGGTGCATTATTAGACAAAGTAACAACCTGTGTAAGAGCGGACGGAATGCCGGATATAATTTTTCCTTTAATTCATTTCAATTTGAATAAAAAAAAATTTGTTACGAAACAAATATGCAAAACTAAACAAACATTACGATTTCCTCACTATGTACCCATCTCATTTTCGCCCATAAAAATCCTGAAACCAGAAAATTTCACAACGGTCTTGCAAACACCGAGATCCCATTACAGGATTTGCAAATACGTATCATCTCTGCTTTACGTCACACTCTCACGCATGTTAATTGCCTCCAATTATGGAAATTGCCCATTTCAATTTTTCCCATAAATTGTTCCACTTGCATAACCCATTCAATCAAATAAATTCGACAATCGACCGAAAAGTGGCCAAATTTTACCCACGACGCTCCTTCTTTCCCAGACCGCAATTATGCTAATTCACACTTAGTTTTATAGTTAGTCTGTGAAGTGTGACGACACTTTTTATAAAACGTACCGTAAATATGAAAAAATTTAGTGGCGTTGCGGTTTAGCGGTCCATTTTTGTGGCGACCTCCTTACGTGATCGATAGAATCAAGTTCTAGGTGAAGGTCGAACAGCGCCCAAAATCCGGTCATTATGGAGCAGTCGGAACCGATTTATGCAACGCCCGGTTTCCGGTTTTCGGTGCAGCAGGAAGAAAGTGATAGTTTGGGATCAAATTCTGAGCTCCGTCCTGGGTCCGTTATTTTTTGCTATTTACATGAACGATATTGTTGACCAAAATTCTAACATAGAAGTACCCAATTCAAGTACTTATTCTCGCAACAATAGCGCCCAGCACTTTCATTTTCATAATTAACCCATTTCCAGTTCCGTTACTGGTAGAAAACGGTCGCGCGGCTTGAATTATGTATTAATTCGAAACTCGGCTCAGCCTCTGTCTTCTCACCGCTTTCGAGGTATTTAAACCTGACCTTGCGACCTCTTCCAGGTACTCCTCTGCGTGGCCGCGACCCTGGCCGACAAGCAGCCCCCGAAAAAGAAAGAAGACCCCCGCGGCAAACGCAATCTCCAGTACCACATAGCCCACTACACCGGCCCTAACGCCTACCGGAGGATATCCACGGCCCCCCAAATTCCACTCTACCACTCTCAGTTCTTCCCAGGTCCTAGGTCCTACTCGCCGTATCACAAAGGTAGACACTCTTTCCCGCCTCCCCCTTACGCTGTTCAGATGGAGCCCCTCGTCCATTACTCGCAGCGCGACCCTCTGTACGATACTAACGCTTTGTCCCTGAACGCAGATGGCCAAAACGACCTCCTCACCGACAATAACCACCTTAGCGAGAGCGTGTACGGGCCGCCGCAGAAGCACATCATCGAGAGGCCGGTGTACATCAAGGAGCCGGAGCCCATCATCGAGATCATCATCAAGGAGTCGAACGTGACGCTGCCGCCGCCGCCGGCGCCGCCAGCGCCACCACCGAAGAAGAAGGAGCAAGTGCAGGTGTTCTACGTGAAGTATAAGAAGAACCCGAACGGACACGGGAAAGATAGTGTGATTTATGATAAGCCGGTGGAGGCGATCTCGCCGCCGATTCATGACGAGCAGGAGGAGGCGCCGCCGCCGAGTCACCATCACGAAGTAGTGACAGTGCCGCCGCCGCCGAGCACCACACACAGAACCATCATCAAACCGGACTCCGAGACCTACCACAGCCCGACCGGAGTCAAAGTCACGTTCGGGAAAGAGGGTTTCGACTACGACAAGAGGTCAAGCAAACCAGAAGACTTGAAGGCGGCGGAGGACGAAAGTAAATCAGTGCAGTTCCCTCAAGGGCGACAACTAGCGGCGTTCCCGCCACCTAGAAGACCGGAGATAATTTCCTTCACGCCGCCCCCAGGCTACAGACAACCACAACCCTATCGACCCTTCTCTCAATTCAGACAACAAACAACCCACAGTTTCCCAAGACCGAGTCAACAACAATACTCGACTTTACCCAAATTTGGACAGTTTTCTCAACCGGGGAAAACCCAGCAGCATTTTCCACCCCCAAGACCCGCGCCGCCGTCGTTCCAAAGACAACCAGTGGCTTATCAACCCTTCGAGAGTTTGAGGCAGCCTCAATTCAGACCCGAGACGCGTTTCCCGATCACTCAAGCACCCCCTATCACTCAAAAACCGGCCGTCTTCAACCAGAGACCTCAAAGTGGAGACACCAGGCCCCAAATTCGCGACGCGAAGCCTCAAATTACCGAAAACAAGCCTCAGTTTAGTGAGTCAAGGCCTCAGCTGAAGCAGAAGCCTCAATTCCAGCAACCCGTCGTTCCACAATTCCAACAACAGTTTGCTCAATTTCATCAACATCCTCAACCTCAAGTGAATCAGTTTGCTCAACAACAACAACAACAACAACAACAACCTCAACACCAGTTTCTTCAACAACGACCAGCCGTCCCGCAAAGTAATCAATATCAGTTTCAACAAGGTCTGCCTCAGCAGCATCAACAACCTCAACCATTCAACCCTCAACCATCTATAATCCCGCCAGGGGGAGAACTCATCCAGTCCGTGCCAAAATACGAACAACACATTTCAGTCAATGAACCTCTGAGATCGACTCAATCTCACACTCAATCTCAGTACCAGTTTCAACCGCAGCTGCAACAATCCTCCATAAAACTGACTTCTGATGCTAGTGACAAGAAGCAACCACAACAACAACAATCTCAGTATCAACCCCAACAACAACAACAACAACAACAACAACAACAACAGCAACAATCTCAGTATCAACCCCAACAACAACAACAATCTCAGTATCAACCCCAACACCAACTCAATCCTCAAACCCAGTATCAACCTCAATCCTACGACAAAATCCAGCAACAACTCCGCGAAGCCAACGCCCTCCAAGAATCCATCCGAAGCTCGTCCCCCCAATTCTACAATTTCCAGCAGTCCCAGCAGCTCGACTTCTTCCAGACCTCCCCCCGCCCGTCCACGTACTCCACGACGAGCCAGACCACCACCACCACGACCACCCCCAAGCCGTCCACCACCACCAAGGATCCGAAGGTTTTGAATGCGCAGCTTCCGGATGAGGTTCCGGATGATCTTCGCGAGCAGCTGCTTTCTTCCGGGATTTTGAACCACGCCTCTATTTCGATTCTGGACTACGATAAGGTGGGGGACATTCCTCTGTCGGCTCTTCCTCCGGATCAGCTGGCGAATTTCTACAGTGCTGGAGGGGCGCAGCAGATCCAGGGTGCAGGAAGTGATCCTGTGCCTGCGTTCGCTGAGAGAGATTTCGATACGGAAGGCTCGGAGATTCACGAAGTGACGGTGAAGCCAGAGGTGCAGATGAAAGTTGTCCGGTATGACCCGGAGAGCGATCGGGGTCAACAAGTGCAGGAGGCGTATGTGAAGGATGATGCGACTCAGGTGGATCCAGTGGTGTTGAATGACGAGAAGTACAATAGGTGAGTGTTGGTTAATGACGTGTGGGCGTAAGAAGGTGATTGAGAAAGAAAGAGTTTTTTTATTTGGTTATTAAACAATAAATAATACATAATGATGGTAGTAATATAACCTTTGCAATTACGATGTTCATCAACCTGAGGAAAAGGAAATGTCGTCAAATTATGAAGATTACAAGTCATTTAATGAGAATGAGCGTGAAAAAATATCAGCGAAAGTATTGATAATGGAGTGAGGTTCAGAATATAATGAATTATCGTCGTGAAGTATAGAGAGAATTCCTAGTATTCTCACGCTTGTTATTTAAAAGTGTTATAGTTCAACAAGATTTGCTTTAATGTTGGTCCCCGTTGTAAAAATCTAGGTTTTATGAGACTGCGAAATTTTATATTTAAAATCGTCATAAAAATAATGATCATAGCTCGTATCCACTTTTTCCTTTCAATTGTAATAAAGATTTAATTTTTTGAGTAATTCTTGTAGGATAATTTTATATATTTAGGGATTTAGTTTTTGGATCAAATTTATCGATTTTTCAACTTTGAATTTCTCAATTCAATTTTTTTGGTGTTTCCGACTTTACAATTTTTTGATTTTTCACTTTTTAGATATTTGATTCTTCGTTTTCCCAAGTTCTCGTTCTTGCAATCTTATTGTTCATTTTCTGTTTTTTCAATTTTTCGATCTGCAATTTTTTTGTTTTATAATTTTATAATTTTTCAATTTACCGATTTTTGATTTTTCGATTTGCAATTTTTGTTTTATAATTTTTCCATTTTTCAATTTTTGTTTTTTTATTGTATTTTTTTCATTTTCGATTTTCCGTTTTCCATTCTTTAAACTTTTTGATTTTTTAATTTTTCGGTTTCTCGATTTGGAATTTTTCGACTGCTCGTTTACAAATTTTTGAATTTTTCGATTTTTCAATCTGTGAATTTTTCGGTGTTTCGATTTTTCAATTTTTTATTTTCTTCTTTTTCGTTTTTTTTTTCAACTGTCTAGTATTTAATTTTACAACTTGCAATTTTTTATTGTATAATTTTTCCATTTTTCAGTTTCTCAATTTTTAATTTTTTATTTGCCAATTTTTCGATTTTTGAATTTTTAAATTTTTCAATATTTCCAGTTTTCATTTTTTAAATGTTTCGATTTGCAATTTTTCAATTTTTCAATTTTCCAATTTTTTAATATCCAGATATTTTATTTTTTCGTTAATTTTTCAATTTTTTATTTTCGGTTTTTCACTTCAGCCACTTTCTAATTTTTCAGATTCAGTTTTTTAATTTTATAATTTTTCCATTGTACATTTTCTCGATTTTTAATTTTTTGAATAATTTTCAATTTATCGACTTTTCAACATTTTTTTAATCTTTAGATTTGCACGTTTTTTAATTTAGAATTTTTTCATTTTTCAATTTCTCAGTTCCTAGTTTTTGATTTTTTAATTTTTCGATTTTTCAATTTTCCAGTTTTTCGAATTGCAGTTCTTGTTTTTATATGTTTTTCCATTTTTCAGTATCTCCATTTTTATTTTATAAATTCCAATTTTTCGAATTTCTACTTTTGAATTTTGCATTGTTTCCGTTATTCAATTTTTGTTTTTTTTAATTATAATTTTTCATTTCCTTTTCATTTTCGATTTTCTGTTTCCCATTTTTGTAACTTTTTAATATTTCAATTTTTGACATTCTCGATTTGCGATTTTTCGACTGCTCAGTTTTAAATTCTACAGTTTGTCGATTTTTCAATTTATGATTTTTCAGTTCTACGATTTTCCAATTTTTCATTTTTTCAATTTTTTGATTTTACATTTTTTCAATTTTTTGAGTTTTGAAATTTTTCAAGATTTCCAGTTTTCATTTCTTCAGTTTCATTTTTCAGTTTTACAATTTTGTAATTTTTATTAACCAAAAATTTTTATTTTTCCTTTTTTTAATTTTTAAATTTTTTATTTTCTGTCACTTTGTAACTTTTCGAATTGCAATATTTTTTGTCTTATAACTTCACTGTTTCCCGATTTTTAATTATTTGAATTTTCAAATTTCAAGTTTTCCAGTTTTCCCATTTTTAATTTTCCATTTTTAAAATTTTTGCACTTTTTTTAATTTATAATTTTTTCCACTTTTCAATTTCTCAGTTTCTAGTTTTTGATTTTTCAATTTTTCGATTTAGTCAACTTTTAATTTTTTTAATTTTTCAGTTTTTCGATTTTTCAATTTTTCGATTTAGTAGATTTTTTATTTTTCTGATATTTTAATTTGCGTTTTTTTCAATTTGTCGAATTTTTTTTTGATTTTTCAATTTTTGAATTTTGAAGTTTTGAATTTTTTCATTTTTTTCATTTTCAATTTCCCAGTCTTTAGTTTTGGTTTTTTCGATTTTTCAATTGTTCAGTTTTTCGATTTGCAACTTTTCGAGTGTGCAATTTTTCGATTTTTCAACTTTTAAACTTTCAATTTTTCGATATTTCTAATTTTTCATTTTTTGTTTCTCGATTTTTAATTTTTTGATTTTCCAATTTTTCGGTTTTTCAGTTTCTCCATTTTAATTTTCTCAAGTTTTCATTTTAGTATTTTTTGACTTACGAAGTTTTCAGTTTTTGGATTTTTCAATTTTTCGTTTATACGTTTTGTCTGTTTTTTAATTTCCAGATGTTTTGATTTGTGTTTTTTTGTCAATTTGTCAAATTTTTATTTTGATTTTTCAATTTTTGTATTTTAATCTTTTGATTTTTTTCTTTTTTACCATTTTCAATTTCGCAGTTTTTATTTTGACTTTATAATTTTTAGATTTTTCAATTTTCCAGTTTTTCGCCTTGCAATTATTCGACTGTTTAATTTAAATTTTCAATTTTACAACTTTTAAATTTTTCCATTTTTCGATATTTCTAATTTTTCATTTTTTTATTTCTCGATTTTTAATTTGAATTTTCAAATTTTGAAGTTTTCCAGTTTTCCCATTTTTTAATTCTCCATTTTTACAATTTTTGAACTTTTTTTATTTTATAATTTTTTTTCAATCTGTCGAATTTTTATTTTGATTTTTGAATTTTTGAATTTTTAACTTTTGAATTTTTTTAATTTCTTCCATTTTTCAATTTCTCATGTTTTCGAGTTTTCGATTTGCCCTTTTTTAATTTATAATTTTTTCATTTTTAAGTTTCCCATTTTTAATTTTGATTTTCAACTTTTGAATTTTTTTACTTTTTCGATATATATTTCCAATTTTTAATTTTTTCAAATTTTTAATTTACAGTTTTTTGACATTAATTTTCCATTTTTTAGCTTCTGGATTTTTAAGTTTTTGATTTTTCAGTTACTGCATTTTTAATTTTTCGAGTTTTCAGTTTTTTATTTTTTAACTTACAAAATTTTCAGTTTTTCGATTTTATATTTTTGCGTTTCCGTTTATTCAGTTTTCCAGTTTTTTGTTTTTCTGCTTTTACAATTTTTCGATTTTTATTTTCAGCTTTTTTAATTGACCTATTTTTAATTTTTCGAATTGTCATTTGCCAGTTTCTCGAATTTATTTTTTGAATTTTCAATTTTTCGGATGTTCAATTTAAATAAATGTTCAATTTTTCAACTTTTAAATTTTTCCATTTCTCGACATTTCTAATTTTTTATTTTTTTATTTCTCGATTTTTAATTTTTTAATGTTCCAATTTTTCGATTTTCATTTTTTCGAGTTTTCATTTTAGTATTTTTTAACTTACGAAGTTTTTAGTTTTTGAATTTTTCAATTTTCGATTATACGTTTTGTCTGTTTTTTAATTACCAGATATTTTAATTTATGGTTTTTTGAATTTTTTGATTTTTTATTTTGATTTTTCAATTTTTGCCTTCCTAACTTTTGAATTTTTTTAATTTCTTCCATTTTTCAAATTTTCGTGTTTTCGCTTTTTCGATTTGCCCTTTTTTATTTTATAATTTTTTCATTTTTCAGTTTCCCACTTTTAATTTTTGAGTTTTTAATTTTTTCATTTTTCGATTTTTCCGATTTTCGTTCGCAATTTTTCGTGTGTTCATTTATTGATTTTAAAATTTTCGATTTTTCAACTTTTGAATTTTTTACTTTTTCGTTACATATTGCCAATTTTATTTTTTCAAATTTTCAATTTGCAAATTTTTGACATTATAATTTTCCATGTTTTAGTTTCTGGATTTTTAAGTTTTCGAGTTTTCATTTTCTGATTTTGCAACTTACGATTTTTCAATTTTTCGATTATACATTTTGTCTGTTTTTTAATTTCCAGATATTTTAATATACGGTTTTTTCAATTTTTCGATTTTTATTTTGATTTTTCAATATTTGCCTTTCTCACTTTTGAATTTTTTTAATTTCTTCCATTTTCAAATTTTCGTGTTTTCGCTTTTTCGATTTGCCCTTTTTTATTTTATAATTTTTTCATTTTTCAGTTTCCCACTTTTGGTTTTTAAGTTTTTAATTTTTTCATTTTTCAATTATTTTTCGTTCGCAATTTTTTGTGTGTTCATTTACTGATTTTAAATTTTTCGATTTTTCAACTTTTGAATTTTTTACTTTTTCGATACATATTTTCAATTTTCATTTTTTCAAATTTTCAATTTGCAATTTTTTGACATTATAATTTTCCATTTTTTAGTTTCTGGATTTTTAAGTTTTCGAGTTTTCATTTTCTTATTTTCCAACTTACGATTTTTCAATTTTTGGATTATACATTTTGCCTGTTTTTTAATTTCCAGATATTTTAATTTATGTTTTTTTTTAATTTTTCGATCTTTATTTTGATTTTTCAATATTTGCCTTTCTCACTTTTGAATTTTTTTAATTTCTTCCATTTTTCAAATTTTCATGTTTTCGCTTTTTCGATTTGCCCTTTTTTTTATAATTTTTTCATTTTTCAGTTTCCCACTTTTAATTTTTGAGTTTTTAATTTTTTCATTTTTCGATTTTTCCGATTTTCGTTGGCAATTTTTCGTGTGTTCATTTATTGATTTTAAATTTTTCGATTTTTCAAATTCTGAATTTTTTACTTTTTCGATACATATTTCCAATTTTCATTTTTTCAAATTTTCAATTTACAATTTTTTGACGTTATAATTTTCCATTTTTTAGTTTCTGGATTTTTAAGTTTTCGAATTTTCATTTTCTGATTTTGCAACTTACGATTTTTCAATTTTTCGGTATTTTTTTGTGTGTTTTTTAATATCCAGATATTTTAATTTATGGTTTTTTCAATTTTTCGATTTTTATTTTCACTTTTCAATATTTGCATTTCTAACTTTTGAATTTTTTTAATTTCTTCCATTTTTCAAATTTTCATGTTTTCGCTTTTTCGATTTGCCCTTTTTTATTTTATAATTTTTTCATTTTTCAGTTTCCCACTTTTAATTTTTGAGTTTTTAATTTTTTCATTTTTCGATTTTTCCGATTTTCGTTCGCAATTTTTCGTGTGTTCATTTATTGATTTTAAATTTTTCGATTTTTCAAATTCTGAATTTTTTACTTTTTCGATACATATTTCCAATTTTCATTTTTTCAAATTTTCAATTTACAATTTTTTGACGTTATAATTTTCCATTTTTTAGTTTCTGGATTTTTAAGTTTCCGAATTTTCATTTTCTGATTTTGCAACTTACGATTTTTCAATTTTTCGATTATACATTTTGTCTGTTTTTTAATTTCCAGATATTTTAATATATGGTTTTTTCAATTTTTCGATTTTTATTTTGATTTTTCAATATTTGGCTTTCTCACTTTTGAATTTTTTTAATTTCTTCCATTTTCAAATTTTCGTGTTTTCGCTTTTTCGATTTGGTTTTTAAGTTTTTAATTTTTTCATTTTTCAATTATTTTTCGTTCGCAATTTTTTGTGTGTTCATTTACTGATTTTAAATTTTTCAATTTTTCAACTTTTGAATTTTTTACTTTTTCTATACATATTTTCAATTTTCATTTTTTCAATTTGCAATTTTTTGACATTATAATTTTCCATTTTTTAGTTTCTGGATTTTTAAGTTTTCGAGTTTTCATTTTCTTATTTTCCAACATACGATTTTTCAATTGTTGGATTATACATTTTGCCTGGTTTTTAATTTCCAGATATTTTAATTTATGTTTTTTTTTTCAGTTTTTCGATTTTTATTTTGATTTTTCAATTTTTGCCTTTCTAACGTTTGATTTTTTTAATTTCTTCCATTTTTCAAATTTTCGTGTTTTCGCTTTTTCGATTTGCCCATTTTTATTTTATGATTTTTTCATTTTGCAATTTTTTGACATTATAATTTCCCATTTTTTAATTTCTGGATTTTTACGTTTTCGAGTTTTCATTTTCTTATTTTTCAACTTACGAATTTTCAATTTTTCGATTTTATATTTTTGCGTCTTCGAATTGTCATTTGCCAGTTCCTCGATTTTACTTTTTGAATTTTCAATTTTTCAATATTTTAAAATTTGAATTTTTCCATTTTTCAGTTTCTAGATTTTCCAATTTTTCATTTCATCAATTTTTCGAATGGTAGTTGTTCATTTTTCTATATCTCAGTTTTTAATTTATCGATTTTTAATTTTTCGAAATTTCAATTTATCGATTTTTAATTTTGGAATTTTCAGTTCTTCGTTTTGTAATTTTTAACAACTATTTATTTCGCAATTTTTTGAATTATCAATTTTTAATTTATCATTTTTTCGATTTTGTGGTTCTTGCAGTTGCAATTTTTGGAGTGTTTAATTTTAATTTTTTAAATTTTTTCATTTTCCATTTACTCGATTTTTTGATTTTTTTTTGATTTTACAATTTTTCAACTCTTTAGATTTTTCAAACAAATTTTTCGATTTTTCAACTATTGAATTTTCAAAAAAGTGCAAATCAATCAAAATTCACCAAGGATCACACTTAAAGAACCAATAAACCCCCATCACGTGATTATCACTAACCCATCAACCCCCTCTTGCCCAGATACCTTCCCTTGAAGATCAGCGGCGCCCAATTCCCCATCCCCGACGTCCCCGAGCTCAAGGGCAAGAAAATCAGCAGCGTGGTGGTCCTGGCCCCCATCGCCTACGACTTCTCGTCCTCCCGCCAAACCCGCGACACCAAACCGGAAGAAATCGACCTCCTGGAGGGCCAACTCCTCAAGGAGCTCCTCAAGAACCCGTCCCGCTCGAACTTCCAGAAATTCCTCGAGAGCGAAAACCAAACCAGGAGCGACCAGCAAGCCGTGATCCTCCTAGTGGCCGGGTAAGCACCCATCTCCCGCCCCCTTCCCCATCTGACCCATCTCCAGTTCCAGCGAAAACACGAAAGACAAGGAGATTTTCATGTACGACATCGCCACCCAGACCGTGAGCAAGCTCGACGGGGAGCTGTCGTCGGCGTTCGTGGACGCGGCCGAGGCGAACTCCTCCGACCCCGACACCAAGACCTCGGCCTCCAGCATCGTGGAGACCCGGGTGCCCGTGCCTGACCCAGAGGACGACCTCGAGGCTCACGGCTCCGAGAACCTGGAAAGCTTCGTCGACGTTTCGGGAATTCCGGTCGGTGACGACTTGACGGCCAGCGAGTCGCGGCAACTCCTGGGGATTAGTAAGACTGGAAGGTTGGCTTAGCTGGGGTCAGCCGATGGGTGAAGAAGTCTGGCCTGCTCAACCGGAATTATTTTATATTTATTGAAAACGTTCCACTGTTTCTTTAGCTTCGTTTTGGGATTCTGCAGGCAGGGTGGACTTCAGGTGCTAGTTGTAGGACGGCCCCGGAATACTCCGGGCCGCTGTACAGTGTATAAATATTTTTTTATAATAAAGAATTTTGTAATAATAAGTGTGACGTGTGCCTACATACCGTAAGATGAGCCGAGATCGGGGACAGATTTCTCCGATGGTTGTTGACTGTGGCGAATTCCAGCGGCTCTTTTGTGCTTTTCACTTTTGTTTGCTTGTGAAAATTTGGCAGTTTGGTGAAAATTGCGTAAATGTTTGCGATTGGAACAGGGACGAGCGGAAACATAAATTACAAAAGTCGTTATAATAAAAAAAGGTAAAAGTAGGTAAGTAGAAACTATAAAAATGTATTATGTTTTTTCTTGTGTGATAGAAATGCATGGTCGTTTATAAATCTGGTTGCGAGTTTCCACTCCTTACAAGAAATAAGCTGAAAGGAAAAAATGTACCCGGGTTTACGTTGGTTGCAACTAAAGCGACAAAATTAAGTGTTAAGTGGATCGCGCTCTTAAATACAAAATTAAATACAATATAGAACGAAATAATAATAATCGTTTGAAAATACTAATAGACGACGCTAAAAAAATAGAGAAAGTAAAGAAAAGTTCAACCGTAGAGAAAGAAGATCACGCAACAACAAAAGTAATGAAAAAATTAGGTCTAATTTAAAAAAAACAACAAAAAAGATGAACAAGAACTGCGAAAATACGATTAACAAAGACGGCAAAGAAAGGCGACATAAAGCGATAAAAAACAAAAATTGTGCTGAAAACGACATAAAAACCGATAAATACGACAAAATAAAGGCAAGAGGCAACAAAAAAGCGACAAAAAAATCAATAAAAAAAGGGAACAAAAAGGGCGAGAAAAGGTAATAAAAAAGGAGGCAATAAAACAAAAAAAAAATGGAAAAAACGATAAAATAGCCGTACAATAACAAAAAACTCTAGAAAAAGAGACGATCAAGAAATCAACAAAAGAAAATGTAAAAAAGGCGCCCATAAGCCTCAAACTGGGAATAAAAACGCAACAATAACGTAAAAAAGGAACATAAAAATATGAGGCCAAGAAGTGACAAAGAAAGTTAAAAACACAAGAAAAGGGACCAAAACGCTACCAAAAAATCACAAAACACAATCACAAAAGTCGTTAAAAACGATGAAAAAAGTGACAAAAAAATGAGAGCCAAAAGGAATACAAAGTGACAAACAAAAATGTCACAAAAAAGAGAAATTAAAATAAAAATCATTAGGAAAATGGGGCCAAGGACCAGAAAAAAGAGATAAAAAAGCGACAAGAAACAAAAAAATATAAAAACGAACAAAAAGAAACACATGAGATGAAACACAAATAAATGAATAAAACGCTATAAAAAAAGCGATAAAAAGACGAAAAACTATTTTAAAATAGAAACAAAATGGAAGTGAAAATGGAAGTAAAAACATAAAAAAGTGAGAAAAATAACAAGAAAAGATGATTAAAAAACAAGAAAAAAAACAAAAACTGATAAAATGTAGATCAAAAGGGGGGAAGAGGCCAAAAAGGGTGACAAAAAAACAAAACAAAGAGGCCATCAAAAAATTGACAAAGAAAATGTAAAAAAGGCGAGAATAAGGCTATAAAAAGGGGAACGAGTAAAAGACAACAAAAAAGAGTTAAGAAGCAAAAATCGGAATAACAAGCATGAAAAAAAGGAACAAAAATCAATAAAAAGGAGACGAAGAAGCGACAAAAAACACGAAAAATATTATTCAAAAAGCGACAAAGAAAAGTTAAAAAGAAACACAAAAAAGAGAAAAAAAATACCACCAAAAAATCGCGAAGTACACTAAATTAAGTCAATAAATTTAAGGTGACGAAAAAAGCAATAAGAAACAAAAAAAAATAGTAAAAAAATAAAAAGTGACAAAAAAACACCAGAAAAAAGAAGATGGAAAGAACGACAAAAAGCGTGCACAAAAAAAACCCCACAAAGAAAAATGAAAAATAAACGAAAGAACGCTATAAAACAAGAGACTAAAAAATCAAAAGGAGAGAAATAAGCTATCCAGAGGGCAACTTGAAACAAAAAAGTTACAAAAAAATTACAGTCAATAAAAAGCCACAAAAATGGGACAAAAAACAACAAATCAAGAGTACAAAAAAAACAAAAAAAAAATCACAAACAGGCCAGCAAAAATGCGGGAAAAAAGCGAAAAAAGTCGATTAAAAAATGAGAACGAAAATATAATATCTAAAGACGGGTAAAAAGAAACACTTGCGAAAAAACACAAAAAAATTAACAAATCGTCATAAAATGCGATAAAAAGAGCAAAAAACTATTTTAAAATAGAAAATGCCAAAAAGGGTGACAAAAAACAAAAGACCGACAGAACTTTTGTTTTGTTTATTTTGTTTATCAACCAAAAAAAAATTGTAAAAAAAGGCGAGAGTGGAACGAAGAAAAGAAAACAAAAAAGTGTTAGGAAACAAAAATGGGAATAAAAAACATAAGAAAAGCAAAAAATACGCTACAAAAGCAACTAAAAACGATAAAAAAGGGAACATAAAAAATCAATAAGGAGACGAAGAAGCGACAAACAACACGAAACATATGAGTCAAAAAACGACAAAGAAAAGTTAAAAAAAAAACAATAAAACGGACAAAAAATACAACCAAAAAAATCACAAAACACAATAAAAAAACGTCGATAAATAAAACACGTCGAAAAAAGCGACAAGAAATAAAAACAACTGACAAAAAATTGGGACTAAAAAAAACAAAAATGTCACAAAGAAAAAGAAAATAAAAAGCGATAAAAGATTCAATAAGAAAATTGAGGGAAATTACAAAAAAAGGGAGTAAAAAAATAAAAAAGTGACAAAAAAGACACCACAAAAAAGGGGATGAAAAGAACTACAAAAAGGGTGCACAAAGAAAAGCCTACAAAAAAAATCGAAACTTAAAAACGAGAGAAATAAACTATCCAGAGGGCAACAAAATACAAAAAAGTTACAAAAAAATGCCAGTCAACAAAAAGCTACAAAAATGTGACAAAAAACAACAAATCAAGGCGACAAAAAAGCCAGCAAAAATGCGGAAAAAAAGCGAAAAAAGTTACTTAAAAAAGAAAGGCTATAAGAACATATAAAGAATCGACAGAAAAAGAAACGAACAAAAAATCAATAAAAACAAAGGTAAAAAGGCGATAGCAATTTTGCCACTTAATTTTTCATTTTTTCGATTTTTAAATTTAACAACTTTGCAATATTTCGAAAATTCAGTTTTTTGATTTTCCAATTTTACCACGCAATTTTTGATTTTTAATTTTTTTGGATATTTCAGTTTTTCGATTTCTGGTTTTGGGATTCTTGGTTTTTCGATTTTAAATTTTTGATTTTTTTCGTGTTTTAGATGTTTCGATTTCCCGAACTTCCGATTTTTCCAGTTCTTGGGTTTAAATTTGTTGGTTTTTCAATTTTTCGATTATTAAAATATTTGGTTCTCCGATTTTTGGGTTTTTCAATTTATCAATTTATAGAATTATCAATTGTTGGATATTTTAGTTTTGAGAATTTTTAATTTATCATTTGAAAATTTTTGATTTTTCGATTTCAGTTTTCAATTTTTCGTTTTTTTTGATATTTCGATTTTTCCATTTTTTAAATTTTAGGTTTGTCTATTTGAAATTTGTCAATTTGCCGTTTTTTTAATGTCTCGATTTCTCGATTTTTCAGTTTCTCGATTTCTTGATTTTTCAGTTTTTCGATTTCTTGATTTACAATTATTCAAACTGAATTTTAAATTTTTTGGTTTTCAATTTTTTTGATTTTTAAAGTATTTGTTTTTTCAATCAACAGAAAAAAGGCGAGAACAATTTTGAGTTTTTTCTTTTTTAAACTCACGAATTTTTCAGTTTTTGGTTTCTTTGATTTTAAGATTTTGCATTTTTTGATTTATCAATCAACTTCTTTATTTTTAATTTTTTGGATTTTTAAATTTAACAACAATTATGCAATATTTCGATCATTCAGTTTTCGATTTTTCAATTTTACAACGCTATTTTTCAATTTTTAATTTTTTCGATATTTCAGTTTTTCGATTTCTGATTTTGTGATTTCTTCGAATTTTTAATGTTGCGATTTTCAAATCTTCGAGTGGTCAGTTAAATTTTTTTTTGTTTTTCAATTTTTCAAATATTTGAGTTTTCGATTTTTCAATTTATCAATTTATCAATTTTCGACATTTCAGTTTTGGGAATTTTCATTTCATCGATTTTTTAAATTTTTGATTTTTCAACTTTTAAATTTTGGTTTCTTTAATTTTAGGATTTTGGAATTTCTTGGTTTATCAACTTTTTATTTTCACTTTTTCGATTTTCAAATTTAACAATTTTCGATACTTCAAGTTTTCGATTTTTGATTTTGTGGTCCTTGATTTTTTGATTTTCAGTTTTTAGATTTTCAATTTTTCAAGTGGTCAGTTTAAAAGTTTTCAATTTTCGATTTTAAGCAATTCAATATTTGAATTTTTGATTTCTTCAATTTCATGATTTTGCAAATTTTAAACTTGTCATGTTTTTCGATTTTTATTTTTTCAATTTTTCGTTTTTTTTGATGTTTTGAATTTTCAATTTTTAAATTTTAAATTTTTCGAATTTAAATTTGTCGGTTTTTCGTTGTTTTGATGTTTTGATTTTCCGGTTTTTGCAATTTTTTGGTTTATCAATTTTTGGTTTCTCGCTTTTCGTTTTTTAATTTTTGACTTTTTCGTGCTTTAGATGTTTCGATTTCCCGATCTTCCAATTTTTCGAGTTCTTGGGTTTACATTTTTGGTTTTTCAATTTTTCGATTATTAAAATATTTGGTTCTCCGATTTTTGGGTTTTTCAATTTATCAATTGTTGGATATTTTAGTTTTGAGAATTTTCAATTCATCATTTGAAAATTTTTGATTTTTCTATTTCAGTTTTCAATTTTTCGCTTTTTTTTGATGTCTCGATTTTTCCATTTTTTAAATTTTAGGTTTGTCTATTTTAAATTTGTCAATTTGTCGTTTTTTTAATGTTTCGATTTCTCGATTCTTCAGTTTCTCGATTTCT